CCATATTGTAATCGATACCAAAGAAAATTCAGGTTGTCCACCGTCCTTAAGAACAACATCGTTAGAATAAAACATTATCATCATCATTATCATCACCATTATTATTATTATTTATCGCTGGAAAAACAATTTTTCCCACCGGTTCGTTTAAAAAATCTAAATCGAACGTACTAATTATTTCTAATCAATTTATTATCAATTTACAAAAGAAAAATTTAAGCTTTTAATCCTATTCTCATCCTTTCTCTCTCTTTCTTTCTCTTTTTCCCATTTACTATCTCTCTCTCTTCATCATAATAAAAAACGAGTGCGTTAAATGTTTGTAAATAGTTTTGATGAAAATTCTAAATAAAAAAATTAATTTTTAATTAATTTTATTAATAATAATAATAGTAAAGATTTATTTATCATTTTCTCCAGGTGTAAAAAAAAAACAATTATGCATTTATACCAACTTTTGAAAGAAAAAAAAATCATCTCAAAACGTAATAATAATAATTTTCATTTCTTTCACCTTTTCTTTTTCGACCTCCTATTTTTTTTCTTCTCATAACCTTACCATTTTTCTCTTTTTTTTTTCTTTTATTACTTTTAATTTGCAAAAATAATAATAATAATAATAAAATTAATTCGGCTCGTAATTTATTTAAGGAAAGGAAAGAAAAAAGAAAAAACCCAAAAAAAAAAATTATTTGCATGAGAGTCACGATGTTTAAAAAAAAAAAAATTATTACCGTTGCGGTTATTAAACTCCCCATGCGGATTTTTTTCTTTTTTAACTCGTTTTTTTAAAAAAAAAAAAAATTTATTATAATTTAAAAAATAAATTACGGTGGAAAAAAAGGAATAAAAATTCATTCATTCATTCACTCATTCACTGATTTTTCTAAAGTATATTAATCGTTATCATTATCATTTCTTAACGACTCATCTAATTGTTTTTTTTTTTGTACCGTCAACACAAAAGAAATTAATACGATTTTAAATAATTATTATTAACAATAACATTTGATTTATCATCATCATTATTATTATTATTATTAACATTAAAAATTTTAACGCGAAAAAGAAAAAAAAAAAATTTTGTGGTCGGTTTCGTTAAAACTAAATAATATTAATTGATAATTTATTAAATTAATAATTATTACGTCATTTTATAAATATGAAATTATTGAAATATGTTGTTATGTATAATCCTCGGAGAGAGAAAGAGAGAGAGAGTGAGAGAGAAGAGAGAGAGAAAAACGTTAAACTGGAAAAAAAATTATTATTATTATTTTTTTATTTATTTTAATTACCGTAATAATTAATTAACGTCAATATTATTGATAATAATTCACGTAAACGGTCGAACTTTGTATGACGACGACGACGACTAGTAATTACAAAATAATAATAATAATAATAATAATAATAATAATAATAATAATAATAGAAATAATAATAACTGTAAAAGCTACGTTTAAATGTTTATTATTTATTAACTTTAAATTTCTAGAATTTTCTTCTTTTTTTTTTTACTAGAATTTTACTAATAATAATTATTATTATTATTAATAAATATGGCGAATGTTTTAAAAGTTTTACAATTGACGTATCGACAAAAAAAAGAGAGAGAAAGAAAAGTTGTTTTTTTAAAGTTTGTGTTTGTTTTGTGTTCGATTAAATAAATTTACAAACACGTCGAGTTTTTTTTTTTTTTATAAATAAACTAATCACATTCAATCTGGAATTGTTTGTGGTTGTTTCCTCAATCCTCCCCCTCCCCTTTTCCCCCTTAGCAATAACTCATTTCGCAGTTTTTATTATTATTATTATTATTAATTATCGTTTAATATAAAATTTTCAAAGCAATAATTAAATTATAAATAATAATAATAATAATAATTATTATTATTATTATTATTACAGAACGATTGTTGAAATTTTGTGGTTTTTTTACGTCAACACGTCAAAAAGTTTTACTTTTATTTTCCTTGGCAAGGACAAAAAAAGAAAAACAAAATGGCGTTTAACAAGAAAAAAAGAAAATTTTTTCACGTGACTTTTTTTTTTTTTTGCGACGTCGTTGACACAAATGAACAAACACAAACACACAAGTACGAAAAAAATGTTTTCGTTTATTGAAATCTTTAATATAAAAAAAAAATCACACCCAACAAACAACAAACGATTTCTTTTTTTTTTAATAAAACTTTTTAACGATTGTCATCGTCCTTTAATAATAATAATAATAAAATTTTCTTTTTTTATTTGATTAATTATCGAAAAGGTTATTTCAAATATCATTATTATTATTATTTATTGTTTGGTTTTTTTGTTTGTTTGTTTGTAAGTAATCGATAAGCCTTTTATAAGGTTGTCTCCAAAGACGTTTATTTTTTCGAAAAGTTTGTTGTATTTGTAAAATTGTTTAAAAGATTTTTCTCATTTGTCATTTCTTTCTTATTTGTTTGTTTAAGGGAAGAAAAAATTAATGACGTCATTCATTATTATTATTATTATTTAGACGTGGATAAATTAACGAACGAAAGAAAGAGGAGACATTTTATAAATTATAATAATAATAATAAGTTTTTATTAATGTTTGTTTGTTTGTTTGTTTGTTCGTTTGTTAATTTAACGATTTGATTGATATTGAAATAACAAAAAACAATAAAGACCACCGGGTGATTGATAATGACGAAACTTAAAAGAAAAAAAATCTCAACGGGTATCGATTATCGATCGTTTATCGATAAAATAAAAAAATATTTTGACGTCATTTTTAATATCAACATCGACTTCCGGTTAAAATTTTCTTTTGTTTGAATTGTTTTCCCGTTGGTTTTTTTTTTTGTATACGCGGCGTTTGTTTGTTTGTGCGACGACAACCACAAATTTTTGGTTTAATAAATTTTTATTATTATTTTTTTTAAAAGAAGAAATGAAAATAATTTTTTTTTCTTCTGCTTTTCTAAAAGGAAATCAATCAACGTTAAAAAAAAATTTTTTTTTAATAATAATAATAAATTGACCGGTCGGTACATGAGTGAGAGTTTAACATCTCAATTAAGAAAAAAAAAGAAATTAATATGAGGTCTTGAGGTTCTGGAGAATTCGAATCGATTTTTTTTTTTACTCATTTTTATACCTGGACATAAAACAAATTTAAAACGCGATACGAACGCTTCGAAACTAAAAAATCCGTTCGGGTTAAATTAAATTTTTTTTTTGGTTTATTCTCCAAACCGAAATCGAAATCGTTTAACTGGAAATTTTCTCCAGAAAAATCAAATAGATAATAATATCGATTTTTCTTACCTAACGGTGATGAATTAACAGGTCGTCGAAAATTATTATTATTATTGTGATTGGGCGTTCTTCTTGTTTCGGATAATCCGGCAACGGCTGCAGCTGCTGCTCTGTTGCTGCTAGACATAATGGCAGCAATTGAAAAATCTGTTGCTCTCGTTTTAACCGATGGTACGACCAACATAGCTGCCGCTGCCGTTGGTAATGCAGGAGTAGCATCTTGCACGGCTCCCAAAATCATTTTCGAAAAAAATATATAATAAAATCGATACGACGAACGAAACAAACGGAAAACAAACAACAAACAAACCGTCAAACAAAAAAAAAAAAAGAAAACCGTTCGAGTCACTTTCCGACGGGAAAATTTTAACAAAATGTTTTTTCCCGAATTTTTTTATTCATGTTTTTTTTTTTTTTTAAAATGTTTTAAGGAAAATTTTTTTTCGAAATAATAATAATAATAATATAAAATTAAATTTTTTTTTTGATTTTGTCGTAGCACAATCACAAAATACACGACATCACATTCCACAATCGTGTCACTAACGTGTCTTACGCGAAAAAAAAAAAATTTTTTTTTTTTTTGTTTAGGTGGGGTTACATTGCATGCGTGCTGCGTAATTATCGAAGTAAAAAAAAAAAAAAACAACAACGCGCCCAAAGGTAAACCGAATATACCTTTTTTAATAATAATAATAATAAATGTAAATAGTAAAAGATACTCGTACCCCGTTTGTATCAGGTACCTAAAGCGATTCACGCGCTTACATAACTGCAAATGGCTACGATATACAAAAAGAATAGTCCGAAAACGTCCGCAAGATATCAGGTCGGTAAAATTTTCATTTCCCCTCAAAGTAGGCGGAGTTTTATATTTAAACGTATATACATATATATATATATATAAATTAAAGTCGGTTGAAAAAGCAAACGACGACGACGGATTCGGTGCGGTGGTTAGAAAGAGAGAGAACGACTTAGGGAGAAATGGTTAATAAGGTAACCATGAAAAGCTAACAACTAGTAAAATAAAATCTTTCTTTTTTTCTCTCTCTCTCTCATTTGAGTTGGTAGGCGGAGCATTAAATACATTTGAAAAACGTTGGGCGGTTTGAGTTTTTTCTCTTTTTTTTTACCTGATCAAAACAAAAAAAAATGTATAAAACATTTTTAACAAATGGAAAAAACCGTCTTAATTTGTTAACAATTTTCAATTTTCCCTTTTTCCAAAAAAACAAATACGTTATTGTTTTTAAATATGGACACTTTTTTTTGTTTATATTTTAATATATATTTTATATACTTTCACTTTATGATGAGAGATGATCATTTTGAAAAAACAATTTAATTTTCCCAAAAGATTTACTTCCACGCCTTAAAAACAATCGGGGGACACGGGTGGGAGTGAGGAATGGGGGAGAGTTTATGTATTATGCTAGAGTTTAAAAAAAAAATAATATTAATAATGTTTTTTTTGCGACAATGACGACGGTTGGATAAAGTTTAACGAACGGGTTATATACATACATATTTGAATTCAAAGACTACGGCGCACAAATCAATATTTAAATATTAGTTGAAACGTAAAAAAATTTTTAAGCAGAAGAAAATTACCATTATTATTATTATTATTACCGAAGTGAAAAAAAAAAAAAAAAATTTTTTTTTTTTAAATGCGTGCGTGAGTTTTGTGTGTGTGTGTGTGAACGTGTTTTCCCTACGTGTGTGGGCCCTTAGGTTGTTACGATTGTTCTTAATGATCTTT